GCCTCGATGGTCATGGACTCACGCACTGAATCTACAAGTAAGCCCCCAATTAATTGCTTTCTGTTGTAAGTTGCCTTGATCATGGTGTCTTTTTTTTTTTTTTTTTTTTTTTTTTTGGTTTTTCGAGACAGGGTTTCTCTGTGGCTTTGGAGGCTGTCCTGGAACTCGCTTGGTAGTCCAGGCTGGTCTCGAACTCACAGAGATTCGCCTGCCTCTGCCTCCCGAGTGCTGGGATTAAAGGCGTGCGCCACCAACGCCCGGCGATCATGGTGTCTTATCACAGCAACAGAACAGTAACCAAGACACTTGTCAAATCCTCAATCCACAATTCCTTACATATAACAAAATAGCAGCACCTTTACTTGTCTAGGTTTTCACCAGCTAGGCAGGATCTTGTCTAACCAAAGAGAACCTGAGGAGTCAGTGTTTCCTGAGCCTCTCTTCTGTTCTTTCCCTTCACCACAGGTGGTGTGGTGAGTCTGCTCCAAAGACAAAGGAACATCATAGAGCAGAGTTACAGCTGCCCACGGATAATCACAGTACAGCACTTCAGCAGCAAATAAACTTACAGAAGTCACTGACATGTGCAGTGTTTGGGGGTTTTGCAGTTGCCACACTCAGCAAAACCTAGAGGCTGGAGAGATGGCTCACCAGCAAAGAGCACTTGCTGCTCTTGCAGAGAAGCTGAGTTCAGTTCCCAGTACCCATGTCAGGGGCTATCAATTGCCTGCTCCAGAGGATCTGACACCTTCTTCTGGCCTCCTCCTCCTCCACACACATGAGCATGCCCACACACAGACACTCATTAGTAAAAGTAAAGTAGATATTTTATGAGGATAAAATAATGTATTTGCTGATTTAGTTTTTTTGTCCATTTGATATGAACCAGGGTCATCTGAGAAGAAAGAACCTTAACTGAAAAAAGTCTCTATCATGCTGGCCTGCAGGCATGTCTTTGGGATACTTTACTGGCCAATGGTTGATGTAGAGGGCCCATCTCACTGTGAGTGGTAGCACCCTGGACAGGCAGTCCTGGGAGGTCTAAGAAAAGTAAATGAACGTGAACCTGGAGAAAATGTTCCTGCTTCCAAGTTCCTGCCCTGACTTCCCTCAGTGATGGAGTGTGACCTAAGATGGAATGAACTCTTTTAGTCATGGTGTCTATTGCATCCATAAAAGCAAACTAAGGCAACGTGCAGTACAGCTACTGTTTCCCTCTTTTTTTGTCATTTTTGGTAAAGTTCTCATGATACAGTCTCAAAAATAAAACAGAGATTCTCATGTCCAAGCTTCCTTGTAGCTCCAGTGTTCTTGTTCTGTGCTGTCAATGATAGTTAAAGGAAAAGGATTCCCCTCAATGATCAAAATAGAGGGAGAGACAGAAAAGGGTCTTAGTTGCCCTGGCCATGCACTTAGGTACATTGTTTGGCCTGGATCATAGATGCCCCCAACCGCTCACATGTTGAAGGAGTGGCTGCAGTTGATAGGCATTTGAAAAGACATTGGACCATCAGAACTCTGACCTAGTCAATGGATTAATCTACTGATAAATTCAAAAGTTAACTGACTTTTAGGAGGTGCCTGGTTGGGGAAAGTAGGCCACTGGAATAATGCCCTTGAAGGGTGTTTCTCACCCCCAGTGTTTTGCTGTCTGTCTGTTTCCCGGCCACTGTGTAATAAGCAGCTTTGTTCCAACACTCATTCCCGCCATGGTGCTCTGCCTACCATAGCCCAAAGCCCAAAGCAGCATGACCAGGTGGCTATGGATAGAAACCTCTGTTACTGTCAGCTACGTACACCTTCCCTCCTTTTAACTGATTTTCTCAAGGAATTTATCATGGCAACAAAAAACTGGCTAGCCTACACATGTTCCCCCTGTGCTGAGTATGGGATGGTGAACAGTGACGGAAGCTGTCAGGGACCAATCAAAGGCTGACATATTGGGAGAAGGGAGGACAGAGTATCTCTGGCCCTTAAAATTATATTTTGAGTCAGTCAATAACTTTAGATTTGCCTACAGTAAGAGACAGCTTACAGTATGAAATAAGTGTCTAATTCTTTAACCCAATGCTAGTTGGTAAGTCTTGTATTTGAGGCAAAAAATAACACTTGCATGGTTCTTCTATGAGATCACCAAGTGCCACCTTCCTCTTCTAGTAATAGCATTGTGACATGGCCTTGAAGAGTCAACACACTCATTGCGTTTGAAAGTTCAAATAGGGTTGACTGCAATCTTCGAATCTGAAGAGACCATGTGACCATGTTTGGCCAATCAGGTTATTCCACTTATCATACTATGAATGAGGTTAGTTCTATGACTTTGGGCAGAACAAGTTGTAAAAGGAGGTGTTCCATTCACAAGATTGTTGATTCAGAAGTGAAGACAATACAAGATCTCATAGCCAAGAAGCAAGAAGGTTTATTTCTGAAGATATCCTCAAGGCTTTGGGACACTCCTCTGCCTGGGCCACCTTTGGACTTCCCTTTCAGTTATCCAAACCAATAAATCTCTATTTTCATGGGCCAGTTATCAACCCTATTCTAAATGATCCAGATCAAAGTTCAACCACACAGATGGAAGTAAGGGACTCAGCTGAGATACATCAGGGTTGAAGAAGGCAACACAGCATTCCTGCAGGGCAGCTGCTGGTCTCTGGCACCCTCCCACATGACAGAAGCAAAGGCATGCTTAGGGACAGGTGCTCAAGCAGATGAGGAAAGGGGCTCAGGTTCAAACACAGGCTTAATAGACTTAGATGGCTATGGAAAACAAATCTCTGGGCATGTCTGTCAGTGGTTATCTTAGGTTAACTGAGGTGGGAAGACCCACCCTGAATGTTGGCATCATTCCGTGGGCAGGGTTTCTGGACTGAATAAAACAACAGAGAACAACCTGAGCACAAAATTCATCTCTCCCTCCTCCCTGACTGCAGGTGCTGCATGAGCTGCTTCCACGGCCCCCTCCACCATGGTGGATTTCAGGTGCTGTGAGCCTGAAATTAACTCTTCTTTCCCTAAGTAGCTTTTGCCAGTGTTTTTCCCAACAACAAGAGAACTAATGCAGAGTCTGAAATTCAAGGTACTTTAACCAGATCATGCTAATTTCCCATTCTTTACTGTACTCACGACAATAACCTCTTAAGAATCGATACAGGCCTGTAATCCAACAGGACGTTGAGGCAGGAGGATTGAGAGTTTGAGGCCAACTTGGGCTACCAAGAGAAACCTAGTCTCAAAATTTTTTAAAAAGTAGGTAAGTGAGAGGGTCTCGGTAGGTGGGTAAATGTGCTGGATGTGCAAGGAGGAGACCCAACCACTGTAAGGGGAAAAAGGAAAGGTCAGGTGTGGTCATGAGTGCCCATAAGCCCAGCCTTTATGAGGCCAGAGACAGGAGACTCACTGAGGTTTGCTGACTGCCAGTCCAGCTACAGATGCAGTGAGAGACCTGTCTCAAGAGAATAAACAGAAAAACCTCATGACGTCTTCCTCTGGCCTGTACTCGTGTGTTTGTATAACACACACACACACCAAATAAATAAGTAAATAGAACGGAATCAAGGATGTTTTATTAGTGTTCTTTGAGTAGAACTTAGGAGAGCACTGAGCTTCCTTCTATTTGAGAGTCAAGTTCAGAATTCAAGCTATTCTCCTCAGGGGTCAAAAAGAGTCATAGCGTGTCTACACAACACCAGTGCCCAGCTCTTCCTGTCTTGCTCTCCAGGATTACTGCACACACTATTTTGGGTTCAAACTTCTAAGCAAAGAAGAGGGCTTTCTCTGGAACTCCCACCTCCTCTCAGGATATGCAGATAGTCTCTTCTAGACAGTTCCAGAGAACAGACACACCGTCTCTCCAAAGCTCCAGGGAAATAACTGAGGTAGTTACAGGGCCCTTCCAATTTTCTTTGGTTAAAACCCTCTCAAGTGATGCTGGTTTTCATTTATAGGACAAGAAATTTCCTTCAAAATTCAAATATATACATTTTAAGCAGCTTTGTCATAGAAAATAATCAGCCAGTTTATAGCAGGTTGGAGTTTATTGGGAAGAGACAATTTTAAAGATGCATCTACTTCATCCGTGTGTGTGAGTCTGCCTGTTTATATACACATCACATACATGCCTTGTACCTGTGGAGGCTGCCCTGGAACTGGAGTTATATGGCAGTTGTGAGCCGCTAGGTGGGTGTTGGAACTGAACCCAGAATCTCCACAAGAGTAGCATGTGCTCTTAACCTCTGAGCCATTGTTCCAGTCTCCTTTGGGAGAGATTTTAAAAAACAAAAACATAGGTTTAAGTAATAGGTAGGAGGGTGTATCCAAACGCTGAGGAGTCATTCAAAGTAAAGAAAGGGGACGTCCAGATGTGGGTGTGGGCTTCTCAAGAAAGTCATGCTTAAATATCTTTATCACAGCCATTTTGGTGGCTTGAAAGTTATACCTTAAAAGATTTACAAGGCACTTAAATGAAATCATAGGGTGGCTCCCAAGTTACATGGGATACAAATGGTCAGGTACAACCTTAAGTCCCAGGAGCTACAGAGGAAGTGGGTATGTGTTTACCATAAGCAAAGGTTTACAGTCTCTCTGGGAAAAAGTAAGTAAGACAGCAATGGAAGGTCACACAGGCTCAGACCTAAAGCATGTTTCACTACTATTTTAACTTTTTTTTATGTGTACTTGCTTGTGACCTCTTGTCTGCAAGATCACAACATACATGCAGTACCTGGGAAGATCAGAAGATAGCATTTTATTCCCCCTATACTCGTGTGTGTGTGTGTGTGTGTGTGTTAGAATTCTTGACTTGGTTTTGAGAGACTTCAACCAGTCTCTTGTGTGAGGGTCTGCTTTCCCTTCTCATGTCCCTTTAATTTTTTTCCTGTCTATTTTGCCTAGATGTGGCTTTTATACTGTATTCTGCAGTGTCAATGTTTGAACATCTTACCATGAAACACAATAGAATCATTCTACAAGACTTAGAGTAATTACACCACACACACTAGGAAAGTATGTATGATTTATTATTTGTACATCATCCTCCCTCACACCATGTTATTATTCATCCAGGAAATCAGAGAAAACCCCATCCCAGAGGCCAGATTTCTAGGTTCCCTCCATTTGCTCAACCAAGTAGTAAGCAGATGCATCGTTTTTTGTTGCCTGAGCAAAAACAACATAAACACACACACACACACACACACACACACTTTCTGATAGCATTACTTCATTTTCCCTAAAACAATCACCTCTCACTTTATCCTAACTCTTCAGACCTTATTTCTGGGGCTTCAGAATTATTACATGACACATGCATGACCAATTAGAATGTTCCATTCCCCTGGAGAAAGAGAAAAGACTCAGCTGGCTCAATGATGATGCTTGGATGGTGTTCTTAAAGGAAGAAGTCTCTTCTCCCTTGATTACTGAGCTAGGATGCTGTGATCTGGGGTGCTGGTGGCCCGTTCCACCAAAGGAAAGAATGAGGCCAATGCAAGCAGGTAGCTGAGCTGAGAAACACAGGTGACGAAACTCAATCCTGATGACATCATTTTTGTCCTTGGATCCTGCTTATTTAAAGGCAACTACTTCTGAGCTGTCTAATCACATGAGCCCATGTAATAATTTTTTTCACTTTTTTAACTCATGCCACTTTGGGTAAGATTTTCAGTCACTTGCAACCAAATGATCACTGGCTGATTCACAAATCTGCAACCAAATGAGACTTCAGCACACACCCCTCCAACTCCCTTTCCCAGTCCTCAATAGATCCCCTTATGGGGATCCTGCCTCCAGGGGCCCCGAGGATAAATCCCAAGTCTATAGGGGTTTGCATGAGCCAAAGGCATAGGGGTCACTTCAAGATGCGGATGCTCATTTTTTGTTCGATGTTCATCTTCTCTAAGGACTGGGGAGAGATGGGTTTGGTCAAGTCAAGAGGCTTGAATCTCAACCCTATGCATCTCACCTCCTCCCCTGGAGTCCTAGCATCTCCCAGTATGCCCCAGGTCTCTCCCATCCTCCAGTGAGCTTTATCTCCCATGTCCTTCTATCCTAGGGGCTCCTGACCTCCACTTTCCTAACCTTGGTGAACTCCATGAAAGACACTGCCCCATCACCGTCTTCATCAGCTTCCTGCACTGTGCGGTCTGTGATGCTCTCCAACTGCTCATCTGTCACCTGAACTCCAACCATCAGCCGGAGAACCTGGGGGGCAGAAGACGAGGCAGTCATAAAGACGAGCTGCAGAGACTGCTCCTCCAGCCCAGTCCTTGCCCACATCACCCCAAGTTATGACCAAACTTTGCTCACTCACTTTTCATCATCAAACTCAATTTCCCTGAAGCCTCTAGCAAACACTGCCCCACACTGCGTCACTGTCTAGTCTTCCACATGATTCCATCTCACATTTCAACAACTAATGCGCCTAAACCTAAACCTTACAGCCCAACTGACATCCATCCTCCATTCCACCCCACTTCACCCTCCACCCTAACTCCTTCATCCATCCCAGGGTCTTGGCACTATTGACATTTAGACCTAGATAACTCCTTGTTGTGGAAGATCGTCCTAGCTGTTTTGATATGCATAGCAGTATCCCTGGCCCATTCTGACTAAGCATCATTTGTGTGATTTCTTCCCAGTAGTGACAACCAAGTATCTCCAGGCATTGGTAAATATTCACTCAAAAGGCCAAATTAACCCCATGTTGAGAATATGAACTCTACTCCCAACCTCATATCTACTTACTTTCTACCCATTCATCTAACCAGCCACACCCAACCCCATCCAGTCCCATGACTTACCTAACACACAATCATCTGCAACCCTACTCATCTCTCTCTCTCTCTCTCTCTCTCTCTCTCTCACACACACACACACACACACACACACACACACACACACACACCATCACCACCACCACCACTCCATTTAGCCATCCTGCCCTGCCCAGTTGGTTTCCTAACCTGTAGCATTTCATTCCTGGAGATCTTCCCATCCCGATCCAGATCATAGAGCTGAAATGCAACTGAAAAAGGAGGGGGGAAGAGGAAGGTGAGGCTCCCTGAGTTAACTTTAAGTCCTCATCGGGCTCACATGGCCAGTGAGAGGTTACTGGGCCTCTCCCTGGTGTGGGTAAATCTTGGGGTCTCACTGGAGCAGGTTTCACACACTCACAGCGTAGTTTGTTCATTCTGCTGTTTAGGGGTTCAGGTTGCTTGGGGTCTCGGATTGTTGCATCATCCTCATCTACAGGTCGAAAATGAGCCAGGACCCTGGCAAAGCCTGCGAAATCCACTCTCTGACTCCTGTAGGTGCAGGGATGGAGAAGGATAATGGTCACCTAGACTGCCACCATCTGTAGCCTCCCTCCCTCCCACATTCCACTCCCCTCAGCCTGCCAAGATTCACCCGTTGGGGAAGAAGCTGTCTATAATGCGGTCCCCCAGGGGGTTCACAGCCAGCGCCCCGATCTGTTGGAGGTCTAGGCGGCTGTGAAGACAAAGCAATAAGGCAAAGGAGGCAGAAGGAGGTGTCAGAGAGGGGGATGGGGCCAGAAAACCAGTGGCAAATGATTTAGATCTGCTCTGTTCACCTCAAGAAGCCCTTTTCCTCCCTGTCCAGGGCTTGGAACCGGTGGTAGAGGCGGAGCAGGCTGGCTTGCGAGACTGTGGGAGAGAAGGAGGTAGGAAGAGCCAGCGGAGGACTCGAAATCCTTATCGCCAGATCCTATGTGCATTGGGGTGCGCTGCAGAAACACCAGCTCAGGGGACATGGGCGGGGAACCAAGAGGGCTTATTCTCACCTGTAACTTCCCTTTCTACCCATCAACTTTGTATAACAGGGTCTTCCACTTCCCCACCCCCAGCGAGGCTTCACCCATTAGGAAGAGACTGACGGGTGGGATGCAGGGAGGGAGAGTCGTTGCCCTCACCCCAGGCACAGGTCGGGAGTCAACCCGGCTGGAGGAAGCTTGACAAGGAAACACTATGTTGGAAACTCAAGAGGTTCCCCCAGTTCCCAGGTTCATCGAAGTCAGCCCCCTGCATCTGTCATATGCTCTGCCTGCATCCTCTATTGGAGCTTCAGGATGCCTGAGCGAATCTGATCCATCAACCCGCCTCAAACTTGGCTCTCAAAGACTTTAAATTCCTGCCGTCCTGGTCGCCGGGATCTTGGTTTCCCAGCTCCAGAAACGCGAATTCCGGGGCTCTGACTCTGACTCCAAGTTCGCTAAGTCTCTGCGATCCGGGATACTCAAGCTCCATTCCGGGAACCCCCTACACTACACTAAACCTCCTGTGCCCGCCCACGGACTTCTGGACCGTCCCTACCCCCACACTCACAGCCGGTCTCTCTGCGAATGTGGTCCACGTCGGGAATGAGCGCAGCGTGGGAGCTACGCGAGCCCATAGTGGAGCCTCCGGTAGAGGCTAGCAGCCAGGGGAATGAGCAGTCCTCTCCTCCTGTACAGGAGGCGCGGCAGTCCAGTGGCCCCAGGGCCGAAGGTCACAGGACTGGCACGCAGCCAAAACCCAGGCGTTCCTTGCTTGCCACCTACGACCCTGGAGAACAGAAAACAATGCCCGGGGTAGCAGGTCAGAGGGGAAGGCTGAAAACAGCCAGTCGTTTCAGCCCGGAGATTGAGGTCGCCAGAGGCTGGGCCACGCTAGGGCCCCGCCTTCCTCACTCCAGGGCAAGTCAGTTTTCTCCCAATCCTCCCTAGACACAAACCCAGCCCACATATCATGCTTGGGTCTATGGTGTTTTCTTTTGTTTACATAGGGTTATTGTGTGGCTGAGCCAATTCTTAAGATCCACGAAGCCATGTGACACCAACACTTAGGAAGTTGAGGCAGGAAACTAGGCATGAATTCGTGGCTACTCTGAACTACATGAGTTCTAAGTCAGCCTGGCTTCATTGTTTGACTTGCCTCAAAACAAGCAAATGTGCAAGATTTATCCCAAATCCAGATTCCTGATTTCTCTCAGAAATCAGGAGTTCTGGGACTCGTCATGTAGCTCAGTGGGACAGCAATTGCCTGCCATACAAGCTCATGGTCCTGGGTCTGACCTACTGTGGTGGGCTGGGAAAATTCCTAGAAGTTCTGTTATCTCGAACTGGAGGCTTTGTTATAGTGCCCATACAGCCCATGTTTTCTCCCAGTGCGCCCTGTGGGCCCCAATAGAATGACAGGTGTGTAATGACTTGGGCTACTGACCAGTGCCCAGGACTAGCAAGTTGAAGCTGTGACTTGGCTTAAGATACTAAAGACAGTAACAAAGCCTCTGGTTTATCAGGGTGCACTTAGTGTGCCCATGCAGGACTTCTCACTTGCATGTGTTTTGTGAACATACACTGCCCTATTTCCTATAGCTATAAAGGAACACCACAGAAGAGATGGCTCAACAGTTTATAATACCTGCTCTTTCAGAGGACCTATGTTTGATCCCCAGCACCACAAGATAGTTCACAACTGTCTGTAGTCACCAAGGACCCAATGCCTCCTTCTGACCTTAGGGGACCCAGGCATGTTTGTGGTACACAGACATACAAACATGCAGGCTGAACACCCATGCACATAAAAATAAGTTAAAAAAGAAAAAATAAGACAAAAATTTAGGTGTGTTGTAGTATGGTGTCACACACCTTTAATTCTAGCAGAGGAAGGCAGACACAGGTAGATCTCTATGAGTTCAAAGCCAGCTTGTTCTATACATCAAGTTTGAAGCCAACCATGTATACACAGTAGAACCTGTCACAAAGACTAATTAATTAATTAGTGTGAAGTAGTACATACCTGTAGTCCCAGCAAATGGGAGGCTGGGGCAAGAGAGCTATCCAGAGTTATGGGCTAGCCTGAGCTACATAGTGAGTTCTAAGCCAACCTGGGAAACAGAGTGAGCTCCTGACTCAAAAAATAATGAAAGAAGAAGAAAATCAAAGTCAAAGCGGCCATTCAGCACTGAACTGGGAAAGTCAAGATCGGGTGGCTGTGTCTGGAGTGTCCTTGATGGTGATGTCTCTGCAGAGTCCTACAGAGTTCGGGGTATCACATGACAACACCAACAGACCATCCCAGTTCCATGCTCCCTTGTTCTTCTCACAAAGTCACAGACCCAACCTCGACTGATGCGGCAGGCCTGTCATCCCAGCCACTCAGGAGGCTGAGGCAAGAGGATCACAAGTTCAAGGCTTTCCTGTGCTATAGAGTGGGTTCAAGGCCAAGCTGGGCAACTTAAATACTGTTTCAAGATTTAAACGTAGCAGACTGGAGAGGTGATTCAGTGGGTAAGAGTACTTGCCGTGAAAAAGTGAAGACCTGAGTTCAAATCTCTAACATTCACAAAAAAACTGCTGAGCATGACCACATGTGCGTGTAATACCCATGAGTGAGTTCAAACACACACACACACACACACATTTTATTTAATTTTCTTTTGTAAAATAAGCAGAGTGAAGGGTGGTGGCACTCTTGAAGAGTGCTTCCCAGCAAGTGTGTGTGGCCTTAAGTTCAGTACTCAATACTGCAAAAATAGGCATCTAGTTTTGAAACTACCCTATTGTCACCCTGTTTGTATATATGTACATTTTCATGGAGAGGGTGCAGGCATTTCATTACAAGAGTTCAAGTTCATATCCATTTGGGAGAGAGAAGCAGTCTATTAGTTTCCATCCTGAGACCTGAAAGAGACTCCAAAGAGACTTGAAAATATTGATCTAAAAAGTGGTTGCTTCTCTTTCAGACTAAGTAACTGACAGAATAGATGCTTGATTCAAGGACTAAAGAGGGTGGAAAGCCACCCTCCTCCCCCACAAAGCTCAACAACTCTCCAGGCCAGAACCCAGGAAGCAATGAGTCCCTGATCCTGGGTAGAAGTTACATCCAGCCAGAGTGAGAACGGGGTCTTCTAGTCTTGCTCTCTGAGTCAGTGCTGGACTCATGAGTCATTCTAGTGCAATGGTCAGCCCATGCACACAGCTATTCGCTGAGCATTAGGGAACCCTGTGCAGGAGACATTCCTGTTCCATGCAAACAAGTGGTATTTACACCAATTCCACAACGCACATGTGCCTCTCTCTCTCTCTCTCTCTCTCTCTCTCTCTCTCTCTCTCTCTTTCTCTCTGTGTGGTGTGTGTGTGTGTGTGTGTCTGTGTCTGTGTCTGTATGTGTCTGTGTTACTGAGATGCAACCCAGACCACTGTACATGTGCAAAAGCTATACCACTGAGCTACATGCTTGGCTGAATTTTTTTATTTTATTTATTTTTTCTACTTTAAGCTCCATAAAAGTTGTTAACTTCAGCAGGTGAGATGGCTCAACCAGTAAAGGTACTTGCTGACAAACCTAAAGACCTTCACTTGATCACCAAGAGCCATGTGGTGGAAGGAGAAAACCGGCTCCTGGAAGTGTCCCTCTGACAACTGCATGTATGCAGTGCCCTGACACATACATACAGTTTTAATTTTTTTAAGTTACCTACCATGCCTGATGATGTTCCAGTCAGAAAAACAAATGTTCACAGGGCGGTGGTGGCACATGCCTTTAATCCCAGTACTTGGGAGGCAGAGGCAGGTGGAAATCAGTGAGTTCAAGACCAGCCTGGTCTACAAATCTAGTTCCAGGACAGCCAGGACTGTTACACAGAGAAATCCTGTCTTGAAAAACAAAACACAAAAAGAAAACAAAACAAAACAAAAACAAATGTTCAAGAATACTCAGGAAAGCATAAAGCTCTTACCATTCAATGACCATGACAACTAAAACATGAACAGATGGGCAGTGGCAGTACATGCCTTTAATCCCAGCACTCGGGTAGCAAGGGAGGCAGATCAAGGTCAACCTGGTCTACAAAGTGAGTTTCAGGACAGCCAAAATTACACAAAGGAAAGAAGGGAGGGAGGGAGGGAGGGAGGGAGGGAGGGAGGGAGGGAGGGAGGGAGGGAGAAAGGAAGGAAGGAAAAATCTTAATGTCAGGGGTACCTCCCTATGAGTTCCTGACGCTGAGGCTCCTAAAACACAAAATATAAGCTGGGCAGTGGTGGTACACAACTTTAATGCCAGCACTCGGGAGGCAGAGGCAGGTGGATCTCTGAGTTCAAGGCCAGCCTCATCTAAAAGAGCTAGTTCCTGGACAGCCAACATTACACAGAGAAACCCTGCCTCAAAACAGTCAAAGAAGATGTATAAATGTCCAGGTAGATGCAGAAAAAGATTTTCAACATCACTGGCCATCAAGGGATAAAGAATCAAACCACAGTGAGATAGTACTTCACACTCACTGGAATTACTAGGACTAAGACCAACAAAAACAAAAGAAACTTGCAAGTCTTAGTGAGGAAATGGAGAATCAGACCCCATGCATTGCTCATTCAAGGAAAAATAGTGCAGTCATCATGGACAAGTTTGAGATTTCTCAGTTAGTAAAAACTACCACGTGATAAATAATCCCTTGAAAATAATTGAAAAGTGGGTGTTCACTAGCCAGCAGGCACAGCAGCCAATAGAACTACAATGTAACCCAGTCCTATACCTCCTGGGCGGTTTTGCCTGGAGGATTCTTGAATCAGCTAATCACAGAGATGCTTACACATCCATAGTTATTGGTGCTCTGTTCACAAAAGTCAATACAGGAGCCAGCTTAGGTGTTCATCAACACATGAGGATGAGGAAAATGTAGTGTATCTGTGTACAATGGAATTTTATTCAGCCATAAGACAAATGATATCATGGCATTTGTGGAAAAGTGGGTAGAATTGAAAATTATTACATTCAATAAGATAAACCAAGTTCAGAAAGACAAATACTGCATGCTTATTACATGTATTATTTATCTAGTATGGGAATTGTGTGTGTGCACATGCCATTGCATGTATATGAAGGTCGGAGGATGACTTGAAGCAAGCCATGAGGATCAAACCAGTAAGCAGTGTTCTCCATGGTCTCTGCTTTCACAGAGCCTTAACAATTCTGCCATCTCCCATTGGCACCACAGGTTGAGGACAAAGTCTTTGATCTTCCACATGCTCCCAACCCTGAAGCAGTGCCTTGTCACTAGACCATGGACTGTAACCTCAGAGACCATGAGCCAAGATGGACTCTTCCTGCTTTGACTTGATCCATCTCTGTTGTTTTGTCACAGTGATGGGAGTCTGGTATTAACCATAGACATAGGTGGTTTGAACATGTAAGTACTTCCCAAAGGCCCTACCTCCTGCTAACATTCACACCATGGATTAGTGTAAGGGGAGTTTTTCAAATAACCACATGGAGGCTCGCTAATTATGAAAGCTTGGCCAATATCTTAGGCTTGTTTTTAGCTAGCTTTTATAATTTAAATTAACCCATTTCTATTCACCCATGTACTACCCCGAGGCTCGTTCACCTCATCTATGTACTTTCCATGCTGCTTCTTCCACGTCTGTCTGGCGACCTCTCTGCCTCCCTACTTCTTCCCAGCATTCTCTCAGCTCTGAAAATCCTGCCTAACTCTTGGCCAATTACATTTTTATTAAACCAATCACAGTGACAATATAGCCACACAATGTAAAGGAATATCCCACAGATTAGGCTTTAGATTTTTGAGGGGACACAAACATTCAGAGCA